AAGACTAAGTAGAGACTCTCGAAGGCGGGAGTTCCTATACGAGCGTCGTCGGTTCACGTCACAGTGAAAGAGTCAAGGCGCCGATTCTAAACTGATCTTAGAAGTTTTGTAATCAGTTAACTCGCGCTGATAAATTAAATGGGGTCAATTTAAACCCCTGCCAAAAAACTCATTCAGTTTCAATTTAACTGCTGGACGTATTGGTTAACTATAAAGTGTGTGTAAAACTACAGCGTAACCGTTCTCTTTGGTGTCTTCTGGTGAACATTAAAAACATTGTGGAGTTTGGAAAAGAATCGTTGTGAAAAAAGGTGTTCTTTAGCATAATTTTTGGTAAAACCGTACTTCCAGGGCCCAAAAGGTGATACTTGTTTTTTTTTTGTAGAAAAGGTCTTTTTAACAGTTTTTTTTTCTGGCGCTTCGCCGGCCGCTGCCGCGGCACGCTCGCTTTGCTCGCTCGGCTCGCGCGTTATGGTCACAACACTAACCTAACCTAACCTAGTGTGAAGTATCACCACTTGATAAGAAAAGTAAAAATTTTCAATATTTTTTTCTAAAAAACTACCAGTGCATAAGTGTGACATTTTTTTTAATAATGTGGTTAACAGAAACCTTTTTAACAACAAAAATGCGAAATTACAATCAACAAAACTGAAGTTTTTGACGTGACAACGTCTTAAATTAGGTTGCGGCTGGGAGTCACTTATGAAAAAGTGTAACGCTCGGTAACGTTACGATGAGTTTAAGTTTACATGTACAATGTTTTAGTAAACAAAATATATTTCTATAGTTAAAATTTGTGCAATTCTTATTTTCATTCAATTCCTTGTTCCTATTGTGCAATTTAATTATATTCATATCAATAAATATTCTACCGAGAAAAAGACGTTGTCACGTAAAATCTTCGCCCGTAAAACCGACTTTACAGGCAACCATTTTTTTACTTTTGGGCCCTGGAAGTACAGTATATCCTAATTTTTGTTTGATAAGGTATTGTTTTACTCTTAAGTGTGATGGTTTAAAGCAAATATTATGGTGTAGAGCTCGATGGCTCAGGTGGTTAGCGCGTTCGACTGCGATCGTTGAAGTTAAGCAACTTTTGCAGTGGTAGGCCATTGGATGGGTGACGAAAAATTTACTATCTCGAGCTCCTCCGTGCTTGGGGCCCGTTAAGCTGTCGGTCCCGGCTGCATCTGAAGTCGTTAGCACCCAACAATCCGTACTGTCTCCTCTCCTTATTCCATCCATAGGGAAGGCCTATGCCCCAGCAGTCATTAATAGGCTGGCGAACTCGCTTGCTTGTAGCTTATAAACTCGCGCCGTGTCATCGAGGCTTAAATCTACGGCGGGAGACCTTGTACTGAGAAGAGCCGCCAACAAACTCAGCAAGGGCTATATGGATGGAAGTATGGATTCAATTGGTTAATGCCGGACTCACCATTATCATCAATCCGCTCTTCTTACCTTAAACATCGCCAAAAACAATTTTATTTGCTTTGCTAATAATAAGCGTACCTTCAAAATTGATATTAAGTATCAACTAGCAAACCAGTGAACCAAATGTTCACCAAAAAAAAAAATGTATTTAATTAATTGAGAACTTCGGAGATTTTGTGTGGTTTCGTTTGAAATAGAAATCACGTGATTTCTCGAAAACCGGAAGTGCTACGTTACTCACATCCGGTTTGTAGTCTTATCAGACTATTCTCAACTTATAACTTAAACATTCTCTTTATCTATCTCTTTCGGTTTGGCCGCTGAAACAGCACCACGGACGGACGGACGGACGGACTTGTCTAATAGATAAGAGATACTTGTGATATCAGTAACACTAAACAATACAGATGAGAAGAGATTAATTGTGTTAAATCTACGAATTAACTCGGGGTAATTCTGGACCACCGGCTATCCTGGCCCCCCTTAAATTGACGCTATATTATGGTAGGATGCGTTAACTTATATGGATGAAGACACGTCACTTAGCAAGACCTTTTGAAGCGAATTTACATTGAACAGGCATAATCAGTTATGAGTTAAGTATTCCGTTGCCATTTGAGGTAGGATGGCACTAAAATTAAATTCTTAGAGGCGGAAAGAGCCCAGAGATGCTTGCTCAAGACAATGTTCTATAAGACATATGAATTCCATACTGAGGAACTGTATCTAAATAATAAAATATTGATACTTAGAAAACTATATATTGTCAATTTAGTACTTAAACTTCACAAGACTTTACCTTATCTTCACAAAATTGAAACACGTAGAAGGAAACCAAATGTGGCCCCTACTCTTCCCTGTAGAACTCTTTTTGCCAAACTTCAATTCAAGTCTGTCTACCTTTATAATAAGCTTCACGACAAATATTCGATATACAACATTAATTTCTGTTAATGTAAAAAAACAATAATCCAAGAAGGACTTGGACTTGTTAGATAAATACGAATCCTAGGCAGTATACTTAATTCTAGTGGTATTTACCGATCTCAAAATATTAAATCGTAGGGCTAGAGAGACAGAATGTCCTATTATATAGGTTCTACACGTACACACATATATGTACACACACACACACACACAAACCCAAATACACATACATACATCACGCATACCAGTGCTTAAATATATCTTTACGTTTTCAAAAAAAGACATTGTTATTTTATAATGAAGAGTTGTTCCCCAACAAGGTGGACTGACGACATCGTCAAATGTGCTGGGAGCCGCTGGATGCGGATAGCGCAGGACCGCGCATTGTGGCGTTCTATGGGGGAGGCCTATGTCCAGCAGTGGACGGAGAAAGGCTGATGGATGGATGGATGGATGGACAGAGTTGTTATTTAGTTACCTACCTAAAATAAATGTATGAGAACCTAGGGAGGAGCAGAACAGCCCAACACAAGCATTACTAAATGCTTCATGGGTAGTTTTGTCCACAGAATATCATTGTTTTAAAATAAGGTTAACCAAATAAAATAATTTTATTTTATTTATTACTTATTATTATGTATATTACGGGATTGTTACCATGTACCTTGTTACCTTGTTTAGTGTGTTTCCGATATTTTGACATTGTTGCAGTAAATTACAACTGTCATAGGTTAACATTATTAATTTTATTAAATATACAAACGTTCGAATGAAAATTAAAATTAGGAATTAAGTATAAATTAATAGCTAAAATTAACATTATGTACAAGAATACATACAAACATCGTCAAATATCAACCCGTATCGTTTCTGGCGCAAAGGTGCCCATTATGCTTGCATCATTGCCACGCTGGATGGCAATGGACAGTCTTTGTGCCATAAACGACCCGGAGCGAGGGTCATTTAGTTTTTTGCCTGAGACGGCGGCCCAGGTCTCACACAAATTGCTTGGCCTCTGCGCTCCAACAACCCGCTGTTTCCACCGCCAAAGGCACAAAAATGTATCCTTTCCTCAACGAGGAATACTTTAAGCGCTTCGCCGTCGCCTGATACTCAGCCGCCACCCCAGTCGTGCGTGTCGTGCGGCCGATGTGGGTAGCGGCGAAAGTGCTGACACACGTCGATTTTATTTAACGTCTAATGTTTACTGAAATAATGAAAAAAAAAATCGTTCTAACATCAAGTCGATATTTCATTCCGTTAGTTCCGGACATAGGGTCTCGATTTGATATTTTTCTTTTCAAATACGGAACTTCTTAAAACGATTGAAAACATTATCGGCATCACTTCGCGACGGAGCATTCGCTAATGAAAAATCTACTTTCAAAAATTTTTATATGTTCACAAAATAGATTTTACGTGACTTGACATAAAGATTTTTACTTTCTTAAAAATATCTACCTTTGGTATACATATTGCTTCCTTCTGTACCCAGCTGTCTCCATATGGAAACACCTTTTACATTCAGGTCTTCTCTTCTACCTATTTCTGTGCTTATAACCTTCTATAGCAATGTTCCTAACAAATATACCTACATACAATTATTGTACAGTGGTACGGACACAATCATTCGAGTAAATGTAATATATGCTGCGTTTCCACATATTTCTCAGAACAGTTCCGAGCGTTACCGTTCAAGGTAAATGGAATGCTCCTGTAGGAAAGCCAAAGGAGAATATCTTCCTCGAAGCTAGGTGATGTTATCTCGGGGGCCGCGGCCTCACTGATTTTGTATTATTTTTTTGAGTTTATATGATGTTTGTAGCAGATGATCTTTACAGCGTCACCGGGTTTCAGGACGGCGAGATCCTAAGGGGACCTCCAGCCGAGAATTAGCGAATGCTTCCAAAGGAATACCTCTGGAATACCAGGCGGATGGCATCTACCCACGGGGGGAGTCTCCCGTCCGTCTGGAGCCTCTAGACCACTTGAACCTGAGGGGATCGGCTCAACTAGAGGGCGTCTCTGAGACTCGGACCTCGGCTCTACATAGTTAGCGGTTTCGTGGGGACCTGGTTGATATTGGTAGGGCATTGTATATATGGAGTGTTAGCCTCCGAATTTCACTTGCGTGATGTAAGCTTCCATACGTTGTGAGCGTAGCGCCGGCAGCGCCATCTGTCGATGACGGATATGCAATTTTCTCTTTAGTGATACACTGTAAAATATGTCAAAAAAGTTAGCGAATAGGCCGGCTGATTTTAAGTGGAAACGCAGCATTACCGACACGCATTTAAACTGTTTTGTCTCGTAAACATTTTGGCCGTTTATTTTATTTCATTACGTATCAATGCGGTTTAAACATATTCCCAAGATCTATATATATAAAACTCAAAGGTGACTGACTGACATAGTGATATCAACGCACAGCCCAAACCACTGGACGGATCGGGCTGAAATTTGGTATGCAGGTAGATGTTATGACGTAGGCATCCGCTAAGAAAGGATTTTGATCAATTCTACCCCGAAGCGAAGCGAGGGCGGGCCACTAGTTAACAATAAATTCTTTCACGTAAAGAAAAACAAAACGTTAACGATAAAGTTTCGTAGTAATTAATTTCTTATCTTATCGCTAGATGGAGCTGGATGTGCATTTGAAGAGAGATGGCGCTGAGTCGTGGGGCTTTCGTCTCATCGGCGGAAAGGATTTCAACATGCCCCTGACCGTCGTCAAGGTGAGCTTTTATATAACAATTTATGAGTCATCATCAGGGCTGGCTTTTAAATACAGGGCAGGTGGGGTTGTGACGCGGAAAAATCCCTAAACGGGGACCCCACGGTTTCGCACTAAGCAGCTTAGAGGGTTTTTAGCGGATATTATGGCTAAAAGCGCCCGTAAGAGTTACGGGGTCCTCAGTGGGCAGCCACTGCGGGGGCTCGTAAGGCTTGCGGGAGCCAGGTGTGAGGTCCGTTCGGCGGTGTGCCTCCTAAAGGCGCTGTCGTCTGTAAACAGAGGTTTTGCCTGCGTCTCAAAAAAAGGGCAGGCGGGGTTGTGCCAAGAGTTCCAGATTGAAAAAATTGGCCCACACACCTTTGTTGCCCCAGGACCTCCACCCTTATAGTGCCCCTACTGCTAGGACTGAATAGGCCTTCCCTATGGATGGCAAATGGAGAATGGACCATGACTCATCACGAGTACCCAGTGCGGATTGTTGGCAAGTTCCGAAGCATGGAGGAGCGAGAGAATAGGATTTTGGTCCCCCATCCGATGACCGACCACTGTGAAAGTTGCTTGACTTCAACGATCGCAGGCCGAAAGCGCGAACCACTTGCGCGATTGAGCTACTCAAATGAAAATATGCATTATTAAAATAATTTCTTAGTAGCTGTGCTCGGCAGGGCCCATAATCTGATTTGTGAATATTTTAACCACTTATTGTAAACATTAAGGAGTTCGATGGCAAAAGTGGTTAGCGCGTTCGGCTGCGATCGTTGAAGTTAAGCAACTTTAGCAGCGGTCGGTCATTGGATGGGTGACTAAAAATTTACTATCTCGAGCTCCTCTTTGCTTCGGACGGCACGTTACGGTGAAAAGAGGGCGTAATTTTTACTGTGGGAGTATTTTACGGAGGGGCTTGAATAAATCGGAATAGGGCTGAACGAATTTGGATATTTGGTACACATAAGTAGGTATAGTTTATTACCTGGATTGAAACAAAGGAAAAATTTCTATCCCGAAAAAATTTTGGGTTCTTCAAAAACTTGCATCGTGCTTTCATAAAATCACACTATTTTTCTTTGCACAAATTTCTACACTCGCAGAATCTTTTTCGCAAAGTGTGTCGCTAATTGGGTAACATGTGCGTGCCCTCCAAATTGACGAATGCCAATCACATCGACATTGAGACACTGACACGACGGAAATAAATCTTTTATTGGCAATCGACTTGGCACATTGGCATTGTGCAATCTGATAATTGTTACAAGAAAACTAACATCACAGCGTTTAACTTCGTTCTAAACATAGAGAATCCAATTATTATCATCATCATCAGCCTATTAATGTCCTCACTGCTAGGGCACAGGCCTTCTCTATGAGGGAGATTGGGCCATGACTCACCACGCGGGCCCAGTGCGGATAGGCGGGTGCTAATGACTGCAGATGCAGCCGGGACCAATGGCTTAACGTGCCTTCCGAAGCACGGATGAACTCGAGATAGATGATTTTTGTCAACCATCCAATGACCGACCACTGCGAAAGTTGCTTAACTTCAACGATCGCAGCTGAACGCGGTAACCACCCTCACCATCGAGCTCCGACGCTTGAATTATACACAGCCTATTTAGTTATTTATTAGACTTGTAACGAATAGTATATTCGGCAGTATACCGAATATTCGGCGAGGCCCCTGACCGAATAGCCAAATATTCGGCAAAAGTATTCGGCTGGATTTTAGCGCCAAAAACTTGTACAGACGTGATTGTTTCGCGCTCCTTTGTTTTGTTGTAATCTGCCGTCCTCAAGCTAAAATGCGGCTAAATGACAAAACCAACTTTTGAGAAATGGCCAAAAATGACGCGTAAACTTTAAATTATTGCTATTATGTAACCATTCATCACATGACTGAATGAGTTAAAAACTGTTAACTAGTTTAATACAGAAAATAATTAAATTATGTACCTGTTTTATGTACCAATGACTACTTAATAAATGATAATAAAAAAAATGAGAACCTTTCCCTTCTAAATTTTAATTACCACAATAATTCAAACACATAGCATTCTCCATTTCAGAGGATGATTATGTACCTGTGTTCTGTACCAATGACTACTTATATGATTATATAACAGAAATGAAAATATGGATATATACGTAATCAATTGATTTTCATTTTTCATTTTACCAATTATTTCTCTATGACAAAATATATTATTTAAGTATTCGGTATTCGGCCGAATATAATAAAAGCAGCCGAATAGGCCAAATACCGAATAGTAACCGAATATTCGTTGCAAGTCTATTATTTATTATTCACTTTAAAAAATAAATAATTGAATTGAAGTAAAATAATATTCCCATAACGTGATTTCTGACACCCTCCGCTAGTAGTTTCCTAGGTGTGTAGTGTTGGTGTTTGTGGCCTGTGTGGGAGGAATTCGAGGCGCGCGGCGTTTAGACACCCGATTTCAAGGTGATTGTCTGCTTTGTCTATTACCAGCGCCCTCCAGGCATCAAATAGGATGCCGGCGTACAAGGACGACCTCCGTGGCTCGAGTTTTAAAAGGCCTTGTTTCGGCCCTCTAATTATTGACAGACCTTTTTACTATTATTATACTATGTAGCTGCCATCTCAATTCATTCCTTTAGAGTCTGTGCGGAATGAGAATGGGTGTGGCGAAAAATGAAACTAACATTAAGATTTTTATTTGGCAATCAAACCCAGCAATCTGTAAAACGTCAAAGTTTTGTATTGATACGGATTTGTTTGTTGTTGTGATTTCTTGCAGTTTTTTGTATTTAATCATGTCTAAAAGGGGTAAAACCTTACAAATACGGTAGAAAAGCACTACAGCGCCCTCCAATCTAAATCCCATTCTCTTTCCGCACAGACTTTATCATCTGCTGTCTTGTTGTCATGTACGTTTTGATGTATACAAAAATATCGGGTATAATTTAATTATTAAAGCCACGTTATGTAAGCTAATACAGGCCTTCTGAGAGGCCTTGGGTTCGAATCCCGTTCGGGCAAATGCACAATGCAAATTTCCCGGAATTGATAAGCCAACATCTCCCCTACTTAAAAGTATAATTGCCTAGTTAATTAAAACGGATGGCGATGTTATTTTTTTTTCTCATAATTTAACTTCACATCCTCAGGTGTCACCAGAATCGCCAGCAGACAGAGCTGGTCTGCAGAACGGTGACGCAGTGTGCAGTATGAACGACAGAGATACTCAGGACTTGTCTCATGACAGCGCCAAGCAAGTAGTGGTCGATTCACTTGACACATTAAAAATGACGGTGAAACGGTAAATATTTGGATTTATTATACTATCATCATCATAAGACTATTAATGCCCCAACTGCTGGGGCACAGGCCTTTCTTGTGGATGGAATAGGGCAACTGCGGGCCATTCTCCTAACGGAAGTGCTTTGGAAAACGCTAACGCTTACGATTTCATTTTGTTATTTCTAGCCGCCTGAGGTTTTCAAAAGCCTCGCGCTCTTTTTTATCTTTTGCATTGGTAATAACAATATTAAAAAAAAATAACGTGAGGTATTTGAAAACCTTCGGCGGTCAGAAATAACAAAGTAAAATCGAAAGCGTTAGCGTTTTCCAATGCATTTCCGTTAGGCGAATGGCCCCCTGGTCCGTGAGTGCACAGGCCTTTCCTGTGGACGGATTGGGGAGACTAGGCCGTGACCCACCACGCGGGCCCAGTGCGGATTGATGGGTGTTATCGACTGCAGATACAGCCGGAACCAGCGGCTTAACGTGCCTTCTGGAGCACGGAGGAACTCGAAATAGTAAATTTTGGACACCCATCCAATGGCTGACCACTGCGAAAGTTGCCTAGCTTCAACTATCACAGCCGAATGGAGGGCTACCGTTTTTGTCTCACCAGATGACTCCACTATTGATTGAGGTCCTGAAATATTAGCTTTTAAAGTTTGTAAATACACGCGTGAAATCAAAGTGTACATTCAAATCATATTTTAATACAATACAACCATATCGTAAACATAATCGGCCATGCCACAGTGTTGCGCAGTCCTGTGCTGTTCGAAAAAGGATATAATATTTTTTTAGCTCCGCTTTAAAATAACTGACATTCATTGATACGTAACTCATATTCGAGATAATTAATCTGAGTTAATACATAATATTTATAACATTATTTTAATCTACATATATAAAACTCAAAGGTGACTGACTGACTGACTGACATAGTGATCTATCAACGCACAGCCCAAACCACTGGACGGATCGGACTGAAATTTGGCATGCAGGTAGATGTTATGACGTAGGTATCCGCTAATAAAGGATTTTGATCAATTCTACCCCCAAGGGAATGAAAGTTTGTATGAAATTTTGTCAATTTTAAACCGATCGCACTGAGACTTTGCATGCAGGTATAAGAAGAATCATAGATGAATGTCATTATGTATAATACAAGTCTGAGAACAAAAACTGTAGTCTACACTTCAGCTCTACACCGAAGCGAAGCGAGGGCGAGCCGCTAGTTAGAAATAAACCCGCATAGTCAACCCACAAGCAATAACATTTGACATTTCGGAGACCTCACGCTACACAAGCGCCTCTAGCGGCGGATTCATTCCTTCGAGCTTCGTTACATACAATTTATTTAAATTAGCAAAAGCGATACTTCCTCCAGGAAAAAATGAAAGGAAGATTACTTTGGATCAAGGCTTTTCAAAAGCCAGACCGGGCTAGACCATTAAATTACTCATAGTTTATTTACGAATTGATTTTGAAGCTGATTATCTAAATTTAGATGTTAATCAAATCAAGAGTTATTGAAACAACAATTCGTTGCCAACGTTTGAAAAATAAAACCAGCCAAGTACTTATCGGACTTCGCACATTTAGAGTTCAGTAGGCCTACTAAATGTAGATTTTTTTAAGGTAGTATAAATATTCTTATTTGTTGTTGAATATACGAAATAATTATACAAATTTGATGTTCAGTGGTGAGTGGACATACAGAGACAGACAGAGACATAAATTATGAACAAAATTTGAATAATAAATTAGGCCCCGCCCTTTAGCTGTATGAAAATCTTCTTAACACTTTCTTCTTACTATAAATAAATATTCCGTCCCGTTGTTTGTCCGGGATGGACTCCTAAACCATCAAACCTTTTAATCAAATTTGCATACCGTGTGCAGTTTGATCAATATTATTTTATTGAAAATTACTTTATTATAATATTAATATAAATAAACTATTATACTTTTGGGCAGTACGAAGTTCGCCGAGTTAGGTATATACAGGGCGTCCCACAGCTACCTCACACGGAGGGAAAGTATATTAAATATTGAAGATAGTAGAAAGAAGACATCATTTTATTTTGAATAATAACTAGAACTACATTCACAGATTTTTTAAAAATCGCCTGCTACAACTGGGAATTGAACTCGTGAAATTTCAAAAAAAAAACCGACATATTTTTTGATAACCTTCGAAAGGGTTAAACATATGGATTTATTTTTTGCTAAATAACATAGCATTTTATATGAAAGAAAAGTAATTAAATTTAACATTTTATTTAAAATTATTTATTTGATTCCCAGTTGTAGCATGCGATTTTTAAAAAATCTGTGAATGCAGTTCCAGTTTTTATTAAAAATAAAATGATGTCTTCATTCAGTAAAATATCCTATCTCAAATATTTAATATACTTTCCCTCCGTGTGAGGTAGCCGTGGGACGCCCTGTATATTTTGTGACAATTTGTAAGGATTTGTTGTAATAAGAGGCTTATATAGTGAGATTTTTAATATTCTACCTGTTTGTCTGGAAATCTGGTGTAGCAACCGACGAACTACGTCTAACAGTAATACAAATGGAACCTGTTTGGACATATGGATACGGAATAGTGCTGCCAGGTCGGATTTATTTTAAATCGGTTCAAGAGGTCAAAAAAATCGGGATTTAGGGTTGCAGATCGGGACACTAAAGAAAAAACAAAGGGTTTTAAAGTTTGAGTTTAATTTCGTTTTACACTACTAGTGCAAGTATAGTATTATATTAATTACCTAAATTTCATTTTTTCATTAATCGGGACATTTAGCCTTGAAAATCGAGAAGTACCGCGCAAATAGGGACACCTGACAACACTAGAAGACGATTTTGGCGCTAGTGACAAGCAAAAACGTCGTTATTTATAGTAAGGTACTGAACATTAGTAATGTTCGACATATATGTCATAGTACTGCCAATTTATATTTGCCAATGCCAATGATGAATAAATCTAACTTTGTAACGCAAAGCTTTTTTTTAATTCATTCACGATTAGGAAACGAAAACGACAGTTTGAAACGTAACCTTTTTTGTTTTGTTTTTTTTTCTTTTATTTTTTTTTATTTACCTATAGCAAAGCAAAGTTCGGTTGGTCGAAATGAAGTTTTACCTGGTCTATAAGAATAAGTGAGAATTTCTATTATAATTTTGTGTTTTAGTTTAATAAATATGAGCTGTGAAGACATACCCGCTGTGACGCTTCTTTCTATTGTGATTACAAGATATAATAGAACTGATTATAGTGTAATTAGTTTTTCTTTAATTATTCACTTTTTGTGTTATTGTTAATTGCTGTATAAATTAACTTTATGGTTTATTTAGATTTCAAATTATTTAATTTTGACCGAGTAATGTTAAAATTATTGATGTTATGGGTATCCTAAATTTTTATGATACGCCCTACGCAATCCAAAACGTGTTACTGTACCTCTTCCGGTTTCGTGACTTTATTTTATTAAATGTTCTACTTTATTTTATTAAATGTTGACAAAGTTGTGTCAAGTAGAAGTATGAAAAATAACTTGTGACTAGAGTAGTTAACAAAAATATAAAAATTAGCTGTCATATTTTCAATTTTTTTAAAAGAATAAGTAATTTACAATATCCTTCCTAAGTTTAAGTTTGTGGTTGCGAAGATTGACTTAGTTCACTGGCTAGTCCAGGAATCATCTTCTGTTTCAGCCAGAATAACGTCTTACGTGCTTTTGGAAATAGAAATAGCTTTTGTTTCTTAAAAACTGTATACAATTATTAACTACTTAAAAGAATTTCTTTGACAAAACATTGTGCGCGGTAACTTATGAAACAGTATCTTACGTGCTTTATAGAAATAGAAATAGCTTTTGTTGCTTAAAAACTCTATACAATTATTAACTATTTAAAAGAATTTCGTTGGCAAAACATTGTGCGCGGTAACTTATGAAACATTTATCTAACCTAGCTTTCCTTTCCAGCGGTCTCTACGACCCGGTTTTAGACGACTACGAGCCGATATACGAGCCGGTAGACCAGGGAGATTTCGACCAACCATCACAACCAACTGAGGTAGACCCATTTGCCATCCAACAGTTTCTAGACAACAGTAACCCAGAGCTGCCAGAACTACGTGACATCGAAACCCCAGGCTACCCAATTGAACCTACAGAACTACTATCCCGATCTCTAACCGCTTCCCCTTTCGTACTTCCAACTAAGCCCTACAGGCCCTTTTCTACTGAACCTCTACCCCAAATACCATCGTTAGAAGACCCTATTATACTTAACCCCAATTATAAAGACCAATTCGGTAACCTTGAAGATGGAGAAACTCTTCCAGAAACAAGATTCAAACTTCCCATTTCTGAACAATATGATCCCGACGGTAGTAGGAAAAAAGGGAATATTTCCGATAAAACATCTAAAGAATCACTTAACTCTGAAAGTAGTTTGAAAAAAACTATGACCTTTGAAGAGAGAGCTAAGAAAGAAAATATTATATCTGAAGAGATGCAACACAAAACGATGATAGATGAAGTGAAGTTTATGAAGAAGATGAAAGAAGAAATTGACATGCAAAATATTGAAATGACAGCCATGAGTCTGGTTGATGAAAATATCGAGAGAGCTGTTTCAGTGGCTGACGAAATAAAAAAAGAAATAGATGTTGAGTTGTCTGAACACATAGTAAGCGCTGAAGCTAACGAGTTGATGATAAATAAAGAATCGGTAAATATTTCAAATATAGCCAGTCAAAAGATAACCAATGAAGCGAATGAGCTCGTAGAGCTAATCGACAAAACTACTGAAGATATTATTAGTTACAATGGAAGCAAATCGGAAGTGAATGTTGCAAAAGAAGTAGAAAAAATTGAGATCAATAAATCCAAAGATGAAGATATATCTGTAGCTGAAAGAAAGTTATCTGCTAAGCGAGAAATTGAAGAAAGTATTGTTTCGGGAAGTGTAAGAAGGAAATCAGAAATATTTGATAAAAATGTGGAAAGTAATCATGTTGAACAACAGGTTGCAAGAAAAAATGTAGCAGTTAAGCAAGATAAAATAATAGTTGAGAGCTATAACTCCGAAGAAGCTGATAAATCAGAAGTAATAAATCAAAGTACAAATAAGGGTCAACAAATAAAAAAAGAATCGATTAGTGCATCACAAAAATCCAGTGTGAGAAGTGATACTAAATCTTCCCAGTACAAAGCTTATACGATTGGTTTGCAAACAATACCAAATATAAAAGGCACCATACATTCATCTTATCATTATAACTTATTGCTTAAAACGTTCTTTATACATTTAACTGATGTAATGGTTGCTTTGTCAAGATTTATTTTAACTGAATCTGTCTTTAATAAAGATCTAAATGCTGAAAAGAAAGAAGTTATCGAAAGCGAAACTACATCTGAATCTGTTCGTTTAAAAAGTGAAGAAAATATAATAGTAGATGAAAAGCAGAAAGAATTAAAAGTTGCTGAAGTTCAAGAAGATATGACGAAAAGGAAAATAATGAATATAAAATCTGACCAAAATAAAATTCAGGCTGAAGAAGTTGTTGAGGCAGAACAAGACATGGGAATAGAGACATCAGTAAACAAAGAGGGCCTTAAAAAAATTGAGTATGTGAAAACAGATAATGTCAAAGATCATCACGAGTTAGAAGATGTTTCCGAAACAAGAATACTAACAGGGGCTAAAATGGCTCAAATGACTGAAAGAAAGTCTGAAGAGCTAACTCTTAAGATGGGTGCAGTAATATCAGAATTTGAAACTAAGGCTGGAATAGAATCATCTACAGAAGCAAGAGAAAGGAGATCTAGAAGTCGTAGTAGAATTGAAGAAGAGGTGGCTAGAGAAAGTGATCCTTTAGAATGGCTTTCAAAGGTTGATAAACAAACACAAGAAATAACCGAACTAAAAAGCGAATCCAAATCTTATAGCACCATTTCCGAATCAGTCGAACAAAAGAGAGTTGAGACCACAGAAAAGCGGGAAAAATCTTGCTCCAAGACAAAAAGCGGGAACCAAATGTATGTTGCTATTGTAGAGTCACATGTATTTACAAACAAAGATGCTATATTTGAAGATCAAGCTGCAGAATTATCTGAAACATCATCTGTTCAAAATGCAGATGAAGTTAACATTGCATTACAAGCTAATGAAACAATTACTACCGAGAAAGTTGCACTAGAAAGCAAACAAACGAAAAAAGAAGTTGCTGAAGCTACATTAGAAGAATCTCGTGAATTAACTATTATTAATGCTCAAAATAAGGCTGTAGAAGTCATACAAGACATTAAATCAGTAGCTGCAGAAGCAGAAAAAGTAAAAAATATTAAAAGTACCGAAAGCACAGCTCAAGATATCGTTATACAAGAGGTGATTGAACCTGTAATTGAAACACAAGAAGTTAAGAAAATCGAAAATAGCCATGAAGAAGTTTGTATAAGCGAAGAAGAACAAGTTCAACAAAGTGATCAAATAATTGATGTCCGAGAAGAAAAACATACCATAAGCGGCTGCGAGATCGCAAAAACAGCAGTAAAACAATTAAGTCATGAAACCATTCACGAAAAACATCATGAAGAACAATCACTTATTATTATTGATAATACTAGCGTAGAAGTAACAGCTCAAAATATTAAAGAAGAAGTAAAAGCATTAAAAATAGAAAAACCAGACGAAGTGATTGCAGAAGTAAACATTAAGCGACCTACTAAATTAAATCTTTCAAAAAATGTAGCTTCAAGTGAATTAAAAATAATCAAAGAACAAGTCGTTGAAGTAGAAAATAGAACAAAATGCATTGAAGAGACGGAATCGTCGATGAAAAATCAAACTGAAGTTATAGAGATTGAAAATCACTCTTCTGCTTACCAAAATCATACGATGGAAAGTTATGTGTCTAATGAAGTTGTACAAGAAGCGTCGTTCACAGCGAAGACCTCTGAACAATCTAAAAAACTTACTCTACAAATGGATTTGGCTGAACAAAGGAGATTGCAGAGCCAAAACTCTGAAATTAGCGAGCCACCTAGCACCATAGACACACCTACTCCTGCTACTGTCCCTCCTACTCCACTAACAGATGAATATGTATTTAAACTACAAATTCCACTGCCTAAAAATGTAGGAACCCCTATTCCCAGAGATTGCACTCCTACCCCCGAAGATGAAGATCCTCATATTGTAAAAAAGAAACTGATTGCACATATTGATACCACGTTAGACTCACCTGTTATTTATGACCCCCCACTTTCATCACCACCTGTAGATAAGGTTCAATCTCCTGTTTACACAAAGCCTGGCCTTAGGGGAGGTTCTGATAGAAGGGTGTACAGGAAAAGAGGATTTGCGAAGAAGGTTAGTGGAAACCTTTTTCAATTTTTCATTCTCGGTAATATGACTGCAGGTTTCATACACATTATTGGATTTCTAGCACCAACATTAAGAGCCCTTTCAAAAAAAAAACAAAATTTGAGCGCCTCTTTTACCTCCTTAGAAAAGATTTTGACTATTTCTAATAGAAGTAAACAGTAGATTTAATATGCTTATTGTAGGTTAATGTAGAATATTTACAAATACTATTTTTCATTTTTTGTACTGATCGTTCTACCGCAGCTAGTTTACGGAAAAAACAATAATATGCACAACTTTAAAGGGCTCAATCACTCAATAATGTTGAATAAATTAGATAATAACAAAATAGCGACATCAGAAATATGTTTTTGTTGTAACATAATGTATTAGAATCTTGATTTTCCATCTCATTAATTATTAAAAAAACATCTAACCTCCATGAGTTTTCCCAAAATATAATGCTGGTTTACCTCGTCTTCTGATATTGAATTAAATAGAATTACTATCAAAACCTTTCATAAAACTTATCTACAATCATTGAACTACTGAATTATGTATATATTTTTATAATAAGTTCATTAATTATTATTTTGTAAGACTCGAAACATCACCCGTAAAATGCAATATACATATACTAGTGCAAATCAATTTTGTTCAGATCAGCAGTTCAAATGAGCAATTTCGTAAAAGGACTCCTTAAATAGAATTTTGGATCGGTTATTGTTCATTCTATATCAAACGTATTTGCACACACTATCTGTATGTTTGCAACTTTCTTAATTGCAGAAACGATCCCAACAAAAGTTCTGTAAGTATCTCTGACTTGCATTAGATTCTACAGTTGGGTTAAAAATTAATTAAACTTAGATTCTATGTATAATAAGTACCGCCCGGATAACCGAAGATGATAGTTCGAATTCTGGCTGAAAACTGTACCCTTAGCACGAACCAATATCGAATTCGAATAGTTTGCGAGTGCCAAATGTTATTGTAAAATGTGTACTGATTTTTAGTTTTCGTTACGTACTTTGTGGCGCTGTTGTTCAAGTTTCCATACAAAATTTGACATTGATATTTCGCACTCGCAAACTATTCGAAATCGATAATGGTTCGTGCTAGGGGTACTGGACCGAGTGGAACTTTTTTTAGTATTATTTTCTTTAGATATAAACATCAAGACTTAAAATAAAAATATATATGATGAATACATCATTATATTTATATTTTAAGCATTTAACTATGTTAGATGTTTGAATCTAAAAAAAATTTTACTAGAAAAAAATCCACGCAGTCCAGGCTACACACGGGACTCGAACCAGCACCCTCCGCTATTCGGGCGGATACACTGACCACTATGCTACCGCGGCCCTAATAGTCGTGTCGAATTTTCTGTAGTATTTCCTTGGCTGCAAGGCATCGCCATCTCTTCGCATTGTAGGTTACCCACAATATCAAACGAATACCTTTACAAGTATTAAACATTTAAAAGAAGAAATAGCAAATGTAGTTATATTTGAAGTTTTTAAGTATTTAACTGCTAGATGTGTAAACCTAAAGAAATTTTTAATATTTCTTATATTTTATATTTATTTCTAACTAATATGTAAGATTTTATTATTATTTTTTATCGTAAAAGTGATTAATTTGTATCAAGATCAATAAAATTATAGTTAAAGTGCTTGGTTTCCTGGTTGGATTTTTAATCATTTACAATATTTTCTGTACAGGAAGAAATTCTCGAGATAGAAAGAAAGTCATCCCTTCTAGCATCAGCCATTGACGAAACCATCAAATGCATTGAAGAATACAAAGAAGAAGTGGGAATCGATACGAAAACAGAAACGAAAACCGAGAAATTCTCTAAAACTGAAAAGACTGTCTCAAAGACTATTGAAGAGCATAAAACTTCAAAGCAAGAACCGAATGTTGAAAGTCAGCCGATCATTTACAATGGCTATGCGAAAACAGAAACAAAAGTTTATAACAGCATTCAAAACAATGACTCCAAAATGGATGACGAATGGAATCACGTCGACGAGCAAGTGAAAAGCAACAATGAAAAACTTAGCGAACTCTCTGTAAAAATTGAAAGAGAAAAGAAAGAAAAGGATTCTAAAATTGAAACACGACCGGAGAAGAATGAGTTATTAGAAACTACATCCATGCCAAACTCAAAAGAATTAGTTGATGTGGAGAAACCGACAGAGAAACTAACCAATGGGATAGACATTAGTAAACCAAGTGATATTTCAGCTTCCTTTGATATTATACTTTGTCCCGATGTTAAACCTATAGATGGGAATGAAGCACCACCAGTTATGTTTAAAGTTGAAGAAAAGAAAGACCCCTTAGAAGGGTACAGACCAATTCAGTTCAATCCCGAGGAATTGAGACAAATTAAAAAGAATTTACAAAGTGTACACCTATCTGTGCAGGTAAATAAATGAATATTTCCAACACTCACACCAATAAGCCTAGCCCCAAAGTAAGCACTATAAGGCTTGTGTTATGGGATACTAGGTAACAGATTATAGTCAAATAGTGCGATGCATCATGCATGTTGATTTTTAGGGTTCCGTACCATATGATAAGAACGGAACCCTACTGCTGTCACTCTGTCATCTGTCTGGTCTCTAGATCGTAAGCGGAATGAGTTTCAGAACTGAAATTTTGGTATTCTATGTGCCGAATACTTAGTTTAAAATTCAAATAAATTATTTTTGATCAGGGACCCAGACATGAAAAGGAGACGCTTTTTTACCCCAGCACGTGACTCAAATCATTGTCTAGAACTCGTTTAGTAGTATATAATATTATTATTATTATTTATTTTCAATAAGAAAGAAATCGGGGACTGTCAAAGTTATAATTTTTAGACCATGTTTGTTCTAAAATCGCAACTAGTTAAGAATTTGGGATGCATCTCTAGTCTTTAGCACCCACCAATTGCTATTGTGGAGAGCTATTTTATATGACCTATCCAACGATATTAAATACCTTAGATGCACCACGTCCGCTCAAAATGTGTCCCAATCAAGAAGTGCTTGAACTCCACTCAAGCACTTCTTGGTTAACAGTCACGCGCGGACCGTTGTAAAGTCAACAAGCCGCAGAGTTCCGTGAAATAATGCAAAAAAAAATGCTTGAAGTATGTAAAGAGTCGTTTTTTCGACAGGTATCTAATCAATATTTGTTAATTTAACGTGTTTGAAGCATGTTCTAATACTTACTATAAACTGATTTAATAGAAAATATTTGTGATATTCAAATGCATGGTCTGTTATATAGCCGTCTCTTTCCCTCGCGGTCCGTACCTACTGTACTGCTAACAGCGCATTCAGAATTGCGCGCAGAGTCAAAGAAATAAGGTCTATATTCTTCCGCATATAACAATAAGTCGTATAATTTAACAAGCTTGCATTTCGAACTGCCATAACTCTTTGAAGCATGCGTTTTAATTACGACCTTATACAGTATGCATTAAAGGTGACTTTCAATGTTTAAATAATGCCTTTAATTGTTTTTGACGACGCGATCATCTTACGGAGCTCCGTGGATCGTCCGATACCTCTTAGACAGGTTTCGGGCACGATTTTGTTCGTGTTGGTGTATCTAGGGTATCGTTATATCGTTGGACCTATCAATTATTATTATTTTCAATTATTATTAATCCAAGATTTGTATGTAAATGACTTTTTGGGTTTTTTTAGGCACAAATGGAAAGAGCTACCTCCCCAAGCTACTTGGATGCAAGTGGACAACTATTGGGTACACATCAGGGCATCGTAGATGGTCTAGAAGAAGCAGTAGTGGACGCCGAAGTCGCAAGTAAGCTCGCAATTAATAACTGCTTGTTGATATCTAATATATAAAATTCTCGTGTCGCGGTGTTTGTGGTTAAACTCCTCCGAAACGGCTTTCCCGATTCTCATGAAATTTTGTGTGCATGTTGGATAGGTCTGAGAATCGGACAGCATCTATTTTTCATCCCCCTAAATGTTAAGGGTAATCCACCCCTAAATTTTTTTTTTCAATTTTAGATTTTTTTTATGATACATCATACAAAAATACATACAACCTTAAATTTTCACCCTTCTACCACCAACCCCTATTTTTTTATGTCGGTACGAAGTTCGCTGGGACAGCTAGTTGTTAAGATAAAAGTTTAACACATATAAAAAATGTTCAACAACATTTTTCAAACCGGCGGCCGCAGTGCTGTTTTATTTCAAAACTCGCGAGACCACCAAAACACTCAACAACCAACAGTACCCCTAGCACGAATCATTATCGAATTTGAATAGTTTGCAAACCGAAATGTCAATGTCAAATTTTGTATGGAAACTTGAACAGCAGCAGCACAAAGTACGTAACGAGAACTAAAAATCAGTACACATTTGACAATGACATTTCGGACTCGCAAACGATACGAATTCGATATTGGTTCGTGCTAGGGGTGCAGAAAACTCTCTAGAAGCTCCCATTCAAAAGACTAGATAAAGAAAGCTGAAAACTCATAGCTGGATGCGTACTACGATCAACCAAAATACCAATTCAGGAGGCTTACTGATTATGTTGATGATGATGAAAACAGTTACAAATTACCCTACCTATACGCATTACTTTTAGATGCTGCAAAAGCAAAATCAGTTAATAATTTCCTAAAAAGATACAACAATAACTTTTTTGATACGTCAAATTTGACAGCTTGCCATTCATTTTAGGATGTTCTTTGTACTTAGTCGCAATCGTATGAACTAGTGTAGTAGTACAGTCAATCTGTAGGTTGAGTGGTGAAAAAAAAACCTAAAGGGTAAGTCTTGTTTTTTCTGTTGCCAAATGACGTCAGTAAGCCACCTTGGCGATGGGCATGTTCAACTCGTAGGCGTTTTTTGAAAAACTCAAAAAAATTTTTTGAAACGCATTTTTCTTGTTTTGTGTGCATTTTAGAAACTTTTTTTTTCGACCATAATTGTAGAGGGCGTTGAGTGCTACAATTTATGTCATTGTTGCAATCTCGTACAACAAAAAATGCGAACGCCTACGAGTTGAACATGCCCATCGCCAAGGTGGCTTACTGACGTCATTTGGCAACAGAAAAAACAAGACTTACCTTTAGGTTTCTTTTTCACTGAAACGATATTTTTTTCGACAGATTGACTGTACTATAGTGTCTAATGTGAGTTTGTACGTGGTTGAACAAGGTACTAATTAAGTCAGTTGCTAACGCCTTATTTACGTGATTCATGCATGTAATTTGATTTTTCTGAGAGATAAACTTTTTTAATGTAATATAAATTGTCATGTTGGTCTACGATAGCGCAATAAGTAAATATTGTATTCTACCACATACATGATAGTACTTTTATACTGATAATTAAAACAATTCGTGCAAAATTATTCCCTAAACATTCCAAAATATCAAAAATGCACAACGTTAATATTCAAGTTTTCACTTCTGCCGGCACTCATGCCCAAGAGGCGAAATTGGGATTTACTTAATCGCGACAGAATAACATGGCACCTTGTGAAGTTCTCACACCATAGCTAAGTCCTTTAAATAGGATTGATCACAACGTCTGCTGTAGCAAAAAAAAATTACTACGATCTTTTATTGCAGAACTCATTAGGTTCTTATTAAGAACTGCTTTCGATTTCGATTCCGTCGAAATCTGGGTACAATGTTAAACTAAAAGGTGGTATCATCAGTTTTGTGGCACCACATTCCTTGTTAAATTAAAATGTTATTGGAAGCTAACCCATGCGCACTTAGCGACATCTATTGTAAAGAAATCAACTTACATGAATCACATTTAAGCGCACCTAGCGACATCTATTGTAAAAAAATGCATTTTCTTTGCAATAAAGCTGTCACGTGGACGTCCTAGATAGAGACTTATTAATATAATACGGTAAAATAAAATATTACTGTTTCGTCCAATATACTGAAAGTCAACAACTTTTCTAATTTTATTGTGTCATGATGCGATCAGCCCACGTGTTTACGGGTTTAACATTTTTAACCCATACAAAAAAAAAAGTGTACAACGCCGCTAAATATTTTGTGTAATTAAAAAATTCTCTCCATCTCATATTAGAAATGAGTGGAGTCCTTACAAAGATAGCTGATCACATTAATTATATTGCCAATACAATAACTAGGAATAATCTGTTTCTGCAGATGGACTTGGCAAGCCCGGAATGACAGAACAGAAAATTGCTGAATTAATATCTGGGGAGTCTGAAATGTTGAGAGAGGCACATGTTATGGGGTAAGTTAATATAAATAATTTTTAGTCTTCCATTGTTTGCCACTCTTTTAACATAAAAAAGGGGTTCTCTATAGGGAGGATATAGTCTCCCCAGACGGGCGCCCCAATCCGAGCTTAAAATCTGCTATATCCTAAAACGGTTTTACATTAAAATTTAGTAAATTAATTTCCATACCCATTTTATGCACTAGTGTGAGACTTCGCTAGAAAATTATTCAAAAAAAAACATTAAAGTATCATACTTATCATAAGGGCGTGAATTGCTAAAACTATTTCGTAAAATTGAAAGTAAATACTGTGAACTACGAGGAGTTCGATGGCCCAAGTGGTTAGCGCGTTCGGCTGCGATCGTTGAAGTTAAGCAACGCAGTGGTCGGTCATTGGATGGGTGACCAAAAATTTACTATCTCGAGTTCCTCCGTGCTTCGGAAGGCACGTTAAGCCGTTGGTCCCGGCTGCATCTGCAGTCGTTAGCACCTACCAATCCGCACTGGGCCCGCATGGAAGGTAATGGCCCAATCTCCCTATTCCATCCATAGGGAAGGCCTGTGCCCCAGCAGTGGGAACATTAATAGGCTGATGATGATGACTGTAAACTACTGCAATTTAACGCAAGCAATTAACGCCTTTAAACTACATACCTTTGTTATGTGAGATAGAGCACATGAGACATCTCATTTCAACCATTTTGTACATTCTCTCAGTTACTACATAAATATCATTTACATATTCATTGGTGTCGATTCTAACATGATTCTCTAAACCTAAACTTAAATTTGACAGTAGTATATCCTTGTAATTCTCTATACAGAATGAAAAGGAGAGACTGATGTTAAATTTAGTTTTAAGTTTAGAGAATCACGCCGGAATTGGCACCATTATCAACAAGACAGATGAAATTGATATTCATCTTGCTATCTGAACTATTGTCATAAAATAATGTCTTCCTTATGTCAGTAGGTCTATTCTGTAAAACAAAATCTCACTTCCGATTTCAGTAGCTGCCATTTGATATACATTAGGCTACAGCAAAATGTAACTATGTCTGTAAAAGCAGCCAGTCTTAGATATTTGACACTTGTCAGAAATCTCAATATTCAAACTGGCGTCTGTTTCCTTTTTTTTTTTTTAAGATAATATAAATTGTTAGCTGTAATAAATATATTATGATATGAAGCATATTATAAGCATGTAAGCATATTATAGTAGGATAAGATTATGAGATAGTTATATATTTGTTTCTTAGGTTTTTCTTAGGTTTAGATATAGTTATAGTTATATAAGCATGTTTAATATGTGGAGGTTTTTAATTGGGTTTTAGATATTGTTGTTTGTTTATTTAATAAGTCATTGATAGCTGTAAACCTTCCTAAAATAAAATAAATAAATAAATCTAAATAATGAAATCATAAGTGAGATTGCATCTTACAGAATATAGTAGGGGAGCTCAAGCGAGGATTTTTGGATTTACTCGAGCGCGGCAGAATAACATATGGGGAGCAACCTTGCACCTAGTTAAGTACTCCCACTATACCTGAGGCATCTATGTAGGGCCGAACGTCTAGGGCAGCAAAAACAAAATTTCAACAAACGGCCATGACTTTTGGTCGGGTCCGAATCGTCAGTCTTTTGAATAGGAGCTACTAGAGGGTTCACGTAACATCCCTACTCAATGTCTGACGCGCTTGGTTATTTTTTCCTATATTCTACCCCATCGTACGGCCACCCCCATATCATGCAAACCGCGTCAGATCAATATTTTTTCCGTTCTTAGAAACGTTACATGAACCCTCTAGTAGCTTATATTCAAAAGACTGACGATTTGAGCGCGACCAAAAGTCATGACCGTTCGTTGAAATTTTGTTTTTGCTGCCCTAGACGTTTGGCCATACATAGAGGGCTCAGGTATGGTGGGAGTACTTGACTAGGTGCAAAGTTGCTCCCCATATGTTATTCTGCCGCGCTCGGGTAAATCCAAAAATCCCCGCTTGGGCCCCCCTACTAATACCTATGCTGACTGAAATTTAAAACTAAATTTAAGATCAGTCACTCTTTTTCATTTCGTATAGGGAATGACAAGAATACCAGTTGTCAAAGTTTAGGTTTAGAGAATCGTGTCAGAATCGTCACCATTGTCTGTCAATGGACAAGAAATCTGCAAAATTTGGCCACTAGCGGCGCTGTTATCGCTTGACCCAAAACTTCTATCAAATACATACCTATTAGCTTATATTCATTTTTAAGCTTTTTATTTAACAAATTACAAATGCCGCGTTGTGCAGTTCCTGGTTGTTGTGAGAATGCTGCATGCTTACCGACTAAAATATAATTTTTTATGTGTTGCTTTGAAAGGGGGGTAGAACTGAGCTGATGTTTACATCATGGTATGTTACTTGGGCAGGTAATTGCATCTGGATGTCTTCATTTTGATCAGAAAAAACTGCACCAAAATTAAAATTGCGGTCATATGCCTCAAGTTTGTAAAAAAACCCAATATTATACTTCCCATTTTAGCCAGAGGTAACCTAACTCTATGAGATATCTGACTGATCCAAAAATGAGATAGATTTGACTAATGAGCCTGCTAAGAGTTACTGAGATCCATGAACTATTAAAATAATCATGGAAAATGCATCTATGTACCGAGAATGAGCATTCTAGCATAATAATAGAAAGAGTACCTTTCTACTAGATTAGCTTTTCTGCCTTGCTTCTCCTTTTCAACTCTGTTTTCAGCTGTATTACAGACCATGTTGAATACATTTTCACCACTTATTTAATATTTTTCACAACAAAAAAACACGTTTAAAATATGACAGCTGCAATATTCGGCTGTGGTTAGGGTCAAGCGTTTGCAGCGCCATCTATGTCAAGTTTTGCGTATACTTCTCCATTATAGAATGTCTTGTAGCCCGAAGTCAAGCTCAAATATAGGCAATTGTCCTACCGCCGACTATGAACGAGAAGCGAGTAGAACTAGAAACTAGAAACGAGTTAGCGGACAGCTGGAAGCGAGTGTGTATTTCCGCTAGATTTATCGGTCGGTTGTAAACGAGTGTGCGAGTACGACGGGCGATTACTCCCGCCACTCGCTCGCTTAGACAATCCTGAGTATAAATGCATTTGGTCAATCCTTCCTTTCACATACGTTACATACTCGTAAATCATGGCCTTTTTACATTACTGTGTTTCTTACTCTCATTTTGTCAATTTATGTACTTATATTTAATCATTATGTAATGAAAGAACTCATGAATCATCTCTGAAGTCAGTTTTCAACTTGACAACTCTGTAAATAATAAAACAGGGGAAAGTAGCAGCCCTTGCTGAGTTTCTTGCCGGTTCTTCTCAGTACAAGGTCTCCCGCCGTAGATTTACGAACCGATGGCGTAGCTTCTAGACATTGAGTTCATGAGTGCTTGTCACAGCCTGAACTCATTAAATGTTTTTGATTATAATTATTATGATTACATTTTTGATAATAGATTAATAATAATCAGCAGCAAAATGAAGATTGTAGATTTGATTGGTTGCTCTTTTGAAAATCTTTTTAGATTACTTCGATAAGATTAAGAAGCGTTGTAAAAGTAGTTATCAAATATTGTTTTGTGCCTATAAATTACCAATAGCTGTTTCATTCTATATTTTCAAAGTCAATGTCAAACTCTCCTTTGGCTTCGAACTATTTAAACCATAGAGCAAACCGAATGACGCGGCCAGGAGGGGAGACGGCATTCACAGCGTTCCCCTCTGTCGATTTTCCTCCGCTGTTGGGCCAGCTCCAAAACAAAACTGAGTGTCGCCGCACACGGGCCACACGCCACAGCCACTAACGCCGCCACGAGAAGCTGGAAGGGGCTACTAAAGTGACTGAAGCGGCGACAGCGGCCGACTAAGGTAAGGGAGAGAGGGGTGGGGCATCGCGCGAGTGACATGTGGCGGCGTTTTGTATCGGCGCATTAAGTGGCCGGTGCGGGCCACAAGAAGCGAGCAACGACGATTTGTAGCGTGTGGCGGCCACCGGCGTATCGTGTGTGGCGCGTCCATATAAAATGTATGTAAACTACAAGAAATATGCCGGTGGCGGCGTTTTGTGGTTGTGGTCGGTACCCCGTGTGCGGCGACACTAAGTTGCGCTCGGATATATCACTAGACGGAGTTAAGTCGTGCGAGTGTATGTTAGAGATCAAAAATGCCAAAATGTTATGTCATTTGCTGTAAAACATATCTGGGATATTAAACTTACGAAAGGATGGTGTAAATTTCACATATATAAGTAGAATTATTGACATATTGTTTCTATTTAATCACTTTTAAACACAAAATTCATATTATTTTGTTAAAATTCAATCGTAGGACAAACAATTGACTCGCCAGGAAAAAAATCAGATCAGTCAATAAAAAAATCTTAAGTTTTATTTCTGCCCGATCTAGGGCTGTCATTTTTATGTGTGAGTGATTCCTGGGACCAACGTTCTTCGCATCAGATCCGTGGCTTTTATTTTATTTCATTATTAGAAAAAAAACTAAAATTATATGTCTAAAGAGGGCTGAAAAACAAGTCATCCTGTAGATGAGGCACACACGTAGACCTTATAGATTCTTGAAAAAAAAAAGAAAATGTTTTGGCTCGCCACGGATCTGACCAAGGGCATCACGGATCTGACGAATTATATGAATCAAGTAATGGCGTCTAGTTAGAATCGCCTGTTAGAATGCTGCAATAAAGAAAATTATAAATAAAACATCATTATAGCAGAAGTAATCAGAAGTTTTATTTTTTTAAATCCATTGCATATAAAATATTAAAAAAACAAAAAATAAACTACTTTGGTATTTGTTTAAATTCTTACGTTTAAACATCAGTCTTTACTGGGTAGGTATCCACGGCAATTAAAACTGAAAAAAAATATTGAAGAAAAATGGGCCTCCTGGTCGATTTCTACCACAGCGCTAATCTCAACGAGATTAACCAGCTACGCAGGAGATATAATGTTGGTCCGCGCGGGATTCGAACCCACGACCTTCAGGTTGGGAGTCCGACGCTCTAACCGTTACACCACGGAGGCAGTGAAGCTATAATACTAAGTGGTCAGATCCATGGTCGATAAATCAGATCAATGGCTTAAATCCACGGATCTTACGACCACGAATCTGACGATAATTCAAATATGAAGGTATTACTGTAAAACTATAAATAAAATCGTATTTATTTGTACTCCAGTGCCTACACAGGGATATACGTATTATTAATCAAAGACCAGTTAAGTGAAACTATTCTCAATTTAACAGCAAAACGAGCCACGAGTTATACCTACCCCGTTGGACAAACATTTGCAGAAGTCAAAGAACTTACCTAAAATTTTTGGCGCGAAATCTACGGTTACTGCGGTAACCGCGTATTCCACTAAATAAATTGTCATAGTTTCGCCGCGAGATTGAAACTATGCCCGCCGCGTGACATGTATTTGAACGAATAAAGGTACACTAGACTTTGATTATTTTAGAACAGTTTATTCATGATCTAATAGAATAACTCTTCATGTATAACCTTGAGCGTAAAAAAAAATATTCACTATAACATAGCAAGAGTCGCGCGTGTGACACGTAAAAATCTAGTGAAATTATCGCGTTTTTCAGTTTCAAATGGATATTTAACCAATTTCTTTAATTATTTTTTATCAATGGGCCTCAACACTACAATAGTTAAGTAAAGTTTGGAGTGGTACTTTATTCAAGTTGGTCTATTACTCCAGTTAATATTTCAATGTGACCCTTAAAATCATGGGTCCCAGGAATCACCCGAGTGTCGTCATAAACATTTCGTTTTTGCGAAAGTATGTTGGACTGAATTTGTGTGCATAATCCTCCCCCCGCTAAAAAGCGGTGGATTGATTTCAGTCGTATAATATCATTATGGCTACTCCCCTCCTAGCTGCGTCTGCTGTGCTGCTCTATGATTTAAACATCAAATTTTTTTATTCCAACAACACATTAGGTAATTTTCTGGCTGTTCTTCAATAAATTAACAATAAGACACAAATAAAGATTTCGATGGCGCAAGTGGTCAGTGCGTTCGGCTGCAATCGTTAAAGTTAAGCAACTTTCGCAGTGGTCGGTCATTGGATGGGTGACCAAAAATTTACTATCTTGAGCTCTAAATTTACTATCACTATCGGAAGGCACGTTAATTCGTTGGTCCTTAGCACCACCAATTGCAATTGCACTGGGCCCGCATGGTGGGTCATGGCCCAAGTTCCCTATTCCATCCATGGGGAAGATCTGGCAGTGGGGACATTAATATGATGATGTAGACGCTAATGCTAAGACTATTAAAGAAATTAAAACGCCTAATTACAGCACTTATTCATCATATCACATACCACAGCAACAACACTAATACAAATATTTCCCACAAAATGGTTGAAACAGGCTGTCCCGCGTGCTGAAATCGCATATGCATCGACCTGATGACGATTCCAGTGTGGACTTCAAGAAGATAAAACCGATCATTGAATCGTTGAAAGACTCGGAAGTCCTAAAGGCACTGAATGAGGAGATGTTGAGGGTACAGGAGGAGAAGAAGAAGGAAGAGCAGAAGAAGTGGACGACATTCCTGCAGAAGCCGCAGAGGCCAGTGCCGCGGGCGAAGTTCGGGTACTACGGATACGTAGAGCCAGAGCAAAAGATTGAGGTAAGGAATTATTTTGCTAATATTATTAATATGAAATTTTGTATATTCACATAGTCCAACAAAATAATAATTTAGTTGTACTTATTATACTTCCAGACACATCTATCGGCCTACTTAGTGTTATAAGTTTCAACGGTCTTTAGCTATATATTTTAAGGGTCTAAAACTAGTTTTAACCGGTTAATGCACGAAACCCTATCTATTTATTGACGTCTCGCAGCCCTTTCAGGTCTGCTTCGTCAGAATAATTCAAACAGAAGAATTCTGACGAAACAAACCTGAAAAGGCTGCGAGACGTCAATAAATAGGTTTTATTTAATGAGTGATGTGCGTGAAAACCTAAGAAACAAATATTTTAAGGGTCTGTTTATTATACATATATGTATAACTAGCTGACTCGGCGAACTTCGTACCGCCCAAAAGAAATACAATAATATTGCGACTATAAATTGATATGTAAGCTATCCTATCTTTCAAGTTGGATCAAACTGATCACACCGTGCAAATTTTATTGAAATCGGTCAAATAGTTTAGGAGTCCACCCCGGACAAACAACGTGACGCGTAATTCATATAATTTTATATATATTTATATAGTATTCGATTTTTTCTCACCTTTTAAACCTTCCATAGACCTCCACGAATATTTCAGGACCAAGATAAGATAAATCCGTTCAGCCGTTCTCGAGTTTTAGCGAGACTAACAAACAGCAATTGATTTTCATATATATAGATTATTAAGAAGATATATAGAGCAGTAATTTGAAAACACTCGCGAAAAGATAGTAATTAAATTAGCTTCAAAACTGTGCAGGTAGTTCAATGTAACATAACTTTAAATTCTAGATGTGTCGATAGATGTGCCTAGAAGTGTAATTGCTTTTATGATAAAGCTGTTTTTACTATAATAATTAGTTCTACTATAATAGAGTACAGAAAAAGTTTTTGAATTATGCAATCATTAAACGAGATCTGACTCAATGAGTACGAGGAATCTACATGATTATTCAAAATCTTAAACAAGAACGTTAGATCTTTTAAATCTCTGCGCAATTCAAGAGATAACGATTTTTCAAAAAAAAAATGCCTAATATCTTAGCCTCTTAATAACTTAATTTGTATTTTTCAATCATATCAATATATTCTGAAAACACTGCGGGTTCCAAACCGTCGACGCTGACTCCAAATAAGATCTAATTAGTGAATTTTAACGTAATAAAAGGGTGTTAGAATCAGTAAAATCGACACTTGACATAAATCGTGAATTGATGAAAAAAAAAGTTTTTACAAGCCTTATTTATTAGTTATATAATTTATTTGTAATGAAAAGAGAAAATCACTTTCCACAATTATTACATAGGATACATAATATCCCGAAAAACTTTTAGATTTCTGTGAAATTCTCAAACTCAAAATTTAACGCGGATGACGTCGCGAGCGGCCATTATTTCAAATAAAATTCGTTGGTGACATTTTAATTTAAATGTCCAGAGAAGTTGAAGCACATGAAAAATGTAATGATTAATTTAATAACTGGGTAGATTGCTATTTTCATCACGTTTTTGGTACACAAAATAAGGCTATTGTTAGTTGTTTTTACGTCAATTGCAAGACTATAATTATTAACAAAAAAAAGTAAGATTCCATAGATTGACAGGGTCAAAGTTTTCTGAAATCACACTGGCCCGCAACGCAACGCCAGGTTTTTGTCAAGGTCATTGATGAGTTGATAATGTCTTACGTTTAAACGTGATTAAGTCACCGCCAAATGATTGAAAGATCTCGCTACATAACAAACACCTTTAACACTAGGTAACCTCTAATCTATTTTAGACCAGCAACCTCAATAAATACAATAAGAAAACAAATTGCAGCTCGCATTGTATTGCCTAACCTCTTTTGGCATCTGATCTGAGTAGTCTATCACCGAAATAACATTAGGAAGAGGCCATGTATTATCTAGTGTATACATTTTTGACTGTGTCAATATTGATTATCGACGTGACAACATTTTTTATTTTATATTTCACACAATCGAATGATTTTGGCGACAGCTACCAATTTCCTGATTAGCATTTGGCATCGTTTCGTGGCGAGTTTTAGACTTATCTGCAGTGTTTTCTTAAGTGTTATAGTGAATGGTTGTGGGGTTACCGGTGTTTTTGTGTTTGGTAATTTTTTGCTCCAAAATGTTTCATGTTTTAAGCATATTTTGTACAATGATTGCACTAAGACGTAGGATCAGTAACTCAATATTGTATTCATACTTTATTTCTGAGCATTCATCGTGGCTTTAAATAACTTTGATTTTGCGTTTAGATTTGCTTATAGGTGCTTGCGGATTTTGATTTTAGACTTTAGATTTATTCAAGTTTACGAAAACTTCAATATGCTCAATGTTATTATGCGGTCGTTGTACAATGTATTTCTTCAACTAGTGCGAATTGACAATATTTGTCCATTGCCGGATCACTGATTTGTATTTATATACTTAACTATACAGTTATACAAGCATCACAATATTTTGTAAGCTTATACGACAGTTTATCAAATAAAGCGTTTTCATACAAAAGACAAACGGATGTATTGCTCTTTCATATTAGTTATTTAATTCCTGATGATTATGTTAGGCTTATAAATTTGAGTGTTAATAGTGGCTTTTAAAGATGGTTCTTGAACTCGTAACACTTTTCTGTACTCACTAATGGAGTGGTTCACAATTGTCAGATCAGATCAGACTTGTAAAAATTTTCAAGTATTTCGAAGGCTTTTTTTCTATTTCCATGGCAAAGTGACTTGTGCATTTAGATTCAAAACTTAATTTTTAGGGAAAAGACCCAATATTTTTGGAAATCTCTCAGTTTTAGATATATTATTCCATCAATCAATCGTACAATTTCGAATTTTTATATATCTAAATCTTATTTTCTTATAACACCTTAAGCACTTAGCTCAATGGAGCGTTTAGATTTTAAACTAACTAAAAAACATATCTAATTAATAATTATCTTTTGTTTTTCCTTCCAGGAACCTTATAAAGTTAAAATAGTGAAACAGCCGAAACCAAAGGTAGCACCAGATTACAAACCAGAGGTAATTTGTTAGAAAAACAAACTAACATTAGACATAACTGAAATGTGTATGATTAAGTAACCTTGTTCTAGAGGAATGTTAATATAAGAATAATAAATGTGTTACTAATAGATCGTTTAATTTATTTCTTTTATTTATTAAATGAGTCCTCTTTTGGTACGATTAATATACCTTTTGGCATTATTTGTATGAATTATATTAACTTTCTTTTGTATCGGTTTACGTGAGTATCAAACAGCCCCGGCCTAAGTATTTTTCTAAAACCCTTTTTTCTTATTTTCCATTATTTTGTTACCTTCAACCTTTGACTCGACTGACCTTCTGCTTGAGATACTGCCTGTTTATTAAATAAGAAATATCATTTGAAGCAACTTTTTGGTGTCTTATATAGATCTTATATATAGAAATATGCACGATTTAAATTTAAACGTTGGTTTTACTAATGCATTCGATATGGTAGATTAAACCATTAAAATAAGTATATCAAGAAGAAAATTAATTTGCACATTATTAAAAATAATCAGATTCAATACCGCTTTTATATGACACAAATTAAAACTTTAGTCAACACAAAATGAAATCAGAGTACCACAAGGGCATAATTATGGGCTCACAACTTTATAACTTATTTAAAAAATATTATCAAATGAATTCCTATGTTATAATCTTTTACATTATGCTTGGTTGCCTAAAACTTTTTGTTTCACATTGCACAATATGTCTTCTTATGATATAAGGATAAACGAGAAAACATCTCGTCTGACAATAGTGATCCCTGTCACCCAAAGATCTTTAACACCAGAAGCGCCACGATCAGGTACTTTGGTCTCCAAGGAACGAATTGCACTCACAAATTTATTGAAGGTCGTAAGGTCATATCAGTCTCGAAACACCTTAGAGCAAGAGAAACACTGCTGGCGTGAATAAATTTCAGACCATTTTGTGGGTATGTAATCACAAATCATATTCAACAAAAAGTTTACTATCCATTTATCAACTTAATTCATGAAAACGGCGAGTATCATGTGTATAAACAGAAAAAAAACCAATTCAATATCCGAATAGGAACATAAGTTTTTATGTTTTATTCTTAGTTACGTAAGTATAACTTAATACATACAATCTGTTTATTTCTGTAAAAATGGCTACCGCATTTCCAAAACGCTTTGCTTTTTGTGATAAATTTTCATGTCATTAAAACTTCAATTGCAAACATTTGCAATTTCAAGGTTATATTCAATCTAACTTGCGTTGGTTATCTTCGTTGCGTCTCAACAGTAGGCTTCGAAACGCCGGTTATGACATTGTGTTGATGACATTGATCCGGGCTTGCTTGCTCTTAAATATCATACATAACTTATACTTTTTCTTCATATACTTTACAATTCTCCTCCACGTCAACAAAGACTTACATATTAGTTCTCGCTTTTCAAAACTTTGTTCTTTCACTTTACACACTATCATTCTTTAATTCTTCTTCGCGTTGGTTTATTTTTCTACTATTAACATAATTAAGTGTTGATTAACTTATTGTCACACTCCCCTTATATGACACACCATATATCATTACATGTTAACACATTCACTCACTATTCATATCCTCATTGTCATCTACATCATTCCACAGGATTTCGAAACTGGTCCTCTTCCTTGGGAAGAAAGGGCTTTGAAGGAGCCTCCTCCACCTCCCGTGGACCCTGAGGACCCTATTCTGGTGCCTGAAGAGGTGCCAGAGTTTCTGGAAGCTGTAGACCCACTCCCTGAGAGTGAAGTACCAGACTTGGAAGAAACAGGTGAAACTTCCGCTATGAAACGAACGAAACCTACGTGATATCCAGCTATACGTGTAACACTTTTTTTTAAATCCTGTCTGCTGTCATAATTTTTGTGTTATTTATGTTGTCTCTACCATTCCTAATTCCTAGTACTTCTAACCCAATAATATTCAATTGTGCACTCTGTATCTATACTGAAATCCCTATCATTTCAGTGGGAGTTTTAATAATTTATTATCTTTTTAGAGTCTTTTAACTATTCTTATTTATCCAGCTTTCCTTGTCTTCATCATTATTAATGCCTTCCCTTTCCTTATCGCCATCTAAAAGAGTAATTTTTAGATACAATAAAAGGCATTGACAATTAGAAGAATTCGTCTGCTTTTCTTACAGGCATCCCTCTACCTCCACCGAAGCTAGAGGAAGAAGAAGCCTCAGCACCGACTCCTGAAGTAGAAAATCCAGAAGAAGAAGAAACTGAAGATCAACCGGAGACATTAGACATCGAAGCAGTTGTAGAAGAAACCGAGAGGATCGTAGAAGAAATGGAGCAGAATAGACTAGCTGAGCAGTTGTTGTCCGGAGTACAGAATATGGTTGGTGAGTATTCACAGACTGACGAAAACACAACAAATACTACTTGAGTTTGAGCTGTTGTTTCAATTTTTTTTTAATTCTGTATGAATTTTTGTTGGAATTTTTGTTCAATTTGGAGCACCCGTATGGGGAAGTGACCCCCTACAGAAGACCATACTAAAATAACACTATTTTTTGCTGGTGAGTGGGGTTCCAGGGCTCCGCGGGGTAGAAGATTAGGTTCAGGCCAGCATGGTGGGAATGGCTGGAACGACACACGTGTCTCAGGCATCGTTCATGATTGAACTCGACTTACTTACTCGTTAATATATATAAGTATGGATTTAGCTTTTGAGTCTGAAAGATCTCAATTTTTCGATCGCAGACCCTAACGCCAGCGTAGAACAGCAGTTGCTGCAGATGCGAGCGCAACTGGCAGCACTGGCCCAACTGCCTGTCGTCATACAGAACACGCTGGAGCTCGTCACACGCCAGCTGACAAACCTTACGCATCAGGTCAGTCGGACATTTGTTTCAAGAGTTCATTTTAAACTCCCGTCCCCGAGATCACAAAATATAGAGCACAGAAGGTAATCTGATGTACACACATCAAAAAAACGTTTGCGATCACTTTGAAAATAGATTGTTTTTTGTGTTACAGAAAACTTTTTTGTAATTTCTTTTTCCGATAAGATTCTAATTTTAAAAATTAGAATTAGAACGTAAAACTATAAAATAATTCAATTGTTTTTCCATATAAAAAGACATGCAATCCAATACTGACACTCGTTCAGAAATCTGACTATCGAATTTAAAATATTTTTTCACGGAAAGTTGTGATTTAAAAAATGCCACGAGGATTATCAGATGTTTTACGAGCCAGAATTGTAGCTTTGAGGGAAAAAGGCTATTCTACGAAAGAAATAGCACGCAGAGTTGCCATATCCCAATCCTGTGTAGTAACCACGTTGCAGATGTACCACGGCATGGGTAATTTAGCTGATCGACCCCGCAGCGGTCGCCCAACTGTTTTGACAGCTGCTCAGAAGCGCTACATCAGGTTGCTGGTAGCCTGCGACCCAACACTTAACACGAGATTACAGTGGGCTAGGCTCCGGCAAAACGAAGAAGACGAAAAGGAAAACATTTGGCAAAACTGCCTCTTCATTGACGAATCGCGAATCAGTACTCATCCAGATAACTGACGTGTCTGTGTTTGGAGAAGACCTGGAGACTCTGAAAGGCAAAGAACGGCCACTGGAACGGTTCAGCAAGGCTGGAAATCAGTGTCCTTTTGGGGTGGTATTATGATTGGGGCTAGAACGCCTTTAATCCCTTATCAAGGCTTCATGACGGCAGACAGATACACAACAGTGACTATTGATGGAACTTTCAGTTAGTAACAGTTGCCTTTTATATATACAGATTAGATAGGTATACGTGCCAAGTTTCAAGTTTATTAACCCAAGGAATACGATTATTCCTACATATGTTCATACCCCATTTTAAACATTTCAGCGGCAAATTTTGAAAAATAAAATCGGTATAAAGCCATCCCAGCACTAGGGTTAGATTAGGTTTTGTACCGGATCTTCTCAGTACAAGGTCTACCGCCGTAGATTTACGAACCTATGACGTTGCGTTTGTCTCACACATGACCTTGTAACAGCGTAGACTGAATAAATGATTTGGAATTTTAGGGAAATTGGGTTATGAAAAGAATTTTAACGAAGATTACCTTCCTTTTGTAGTTTAAAACTTAAGCTAACCTTATTTACTTATAAGATTGCATTGAAGTTTCTCTTTTTTCAGGAATCTCAAATAAATGTTACCGAAAGGCAATCACAGATGGAGACCACTGTACAATCTCAGGAACGTCTCGAAGGTAAGTGACAATCCTTTTCAATCGTTATAAAGCATGAAAAAGACAGACGTCAATAGTCAAGTTTACAAATTGCAAATACGAATAGCCAAGTTAAGTGCCAGCATTATATAGGTAAAGGTCACCAAAGTTAAATCACACATGATCACGTTAAAATAATTTCACTATAATTATAATGACTCTTGGATTTATACTGCTAAACATTTATAGAAAATATTGTGTTGTACTAATTATACTATCTTATCTATTGCCGAGAGAATTATGATGTTCAATAGAACATGTCATAATGAATATGTTTCACTCATATAGCGTCATTTTAAAAAGTATATGAAGAAGAAAAGCATTTTTAGGCAGTTAACTACGGTATTTTAAACTATTATATTCGTGGCTGTTTAAACTTTATTCTCTTCCTTCATTGTTCGATAAAAAAAATATTTATCTCAGAATCTGAAATACAAACCAATGGGATCGTTGAAGAGGTAGAAGAATGTAAAGAAGAACAAGAGACTGTTGCCGCAGACAATGCTCACAACGCACCCGTTATCGTAGAAGAAGAAACTAAACCGAGCATGACGGAAGAAGAGAGGGAGAAATTGAAGAAGGAAGAGAAAGAGATGTTGGAGGAGCAACAGAGAATCGAAAAACAGAAAAAGGTGAGGCAAATTAGAATTTTAAAAATATAGCGTTATTAATGTATGACTTTTTAAGTAAGTAAAGGTTTTGCCGCTATAAATATTACTTTAAATTAACATGGGTGTCGATTCTGGCATAATTCTCTAAACCTAAACCTAAATTATATAGAAAAGGAGAGACTGGTGTTAAATTTAATTTTAGAGCCTTCGCTGCGTAAAGCGGGTCATCCGTGCAGCGCTGTTTTATGAAATGACATTAAAATTGCACGCGGAGCGGACGTCCGCTCCGTACTCCAGCTTAACGCACCGTAGGGTACGGCCAGAGTGCACTCAGATTCAGATTCAGACTCGGAAAACAAGCGCGAGAAATATACAGTGTAGTTTAAGCAGGTTGCCTGCTGCCACTATGGCCACCCTGCTTAAACTACACTGTTTATTTCTCGCGCTTGTTTTCTGATTCTGAGTCTGAATCTGAGTGCACTCTGGCCTTACCCGTAGGCCGCTAGGTTTAGAAAATCATGCCAGAATCAACACTACTATTTACTAAAGTAACCAAAAAAATTCTAAGCAACGGCTTAGATAATATTTTTATCCGTTGACTGTCATATTAAAAACGAAAAGAGAGAACACTGTCCGAATCCAGGTTATAAAATAAATGGTTTAGTAAATATATACACATGAAAAGAAAATATATATTAACGAAATAACTTTTGAGTCTTGCTCATTTATTTTAATATTCAAATATATTGTCAGTATCAGACCAAAATTCTTTTAAAAGCCAAATTGCAAGAATTTATTATAATTATTTAGATGTGTGTGTGTTTACAATTTAAATTTTAATGTAATTTTTCTAAGTAACCCTAAGAAATTCCTTAACACAAACAGCCTTTCTCTCTCAACACACAAATGATCGGTACCCATCAGAAACCCCAATTTCCCTAATGAGCAACCTCTACAGGAACTAATGGAGCAAATGAGACTAGAACAAGAGTCCAGGCAGGTGAAGCAAAGGCCCACCCCACGCGTGGGCAAACCCAAGCCTGTATTTGGGCCCCCAACACCCGTTGAGAGGCCACTAGTACTGCCAGGCGGAAGAAGATGGCGCAAACCTCAAGACGCTTACAACGAACAGTTTATAGCTGAAACTTTGACAGCTCAAGCTGAGATCATTCAGGGGAAAGCCAAAGGGTACAGTTTCAATGTTGATTTTAAATGTTTAGTATTTAGATAAATGTCTCAGTCTCATTTTGTAGCTTTCGTATTTTATATGTGTCGGAAATTGTTATTTGTTTTATTAATAAATACCTTTACTACGCGTACGCTTCAAGTTGGCCGCTCTCACCCTCCCCGCCTCACCGCACTACGCTCCTAGACAGACCCTATAAGTCAACCTGATTGGTCGACGGTACGAGTTCATGTGCCTGTGATTGGCCTGTGACACATTTTGTAACGGCCATCCTCGGCCAACTCAAAGCGAACGAGTAGTAGTGATCATTAATAGGGTTGATACAATTTCAAAAAATGAAATTTTAAAAAAATAATAAATCTAGAGTTACTCGGATGTCAGTTTTTTTTACTAATCGATATTTTCGGCAATGGTTTTTCTTCAAGGGATTTAACAAAATTATTAACTCATTTAATTGCGAATTTAAATGAAATTTCAATTCCCAAAGAAAAACTTCGTCTGGATGTCATTGGTGTCGATTCTGGCACGATTCTCTAAATCTAAACTTAAATTTGACAACAGTGTATCCTTGTCATTCTCTATACAGAATGAAAAGGAGAGACTGATGTTAAATTTAGTTTTAAGTTTAGAGAATCACGCCAGAATCGACACCATTGTAAATTTAGTAGATAAAGGTGTCGATTCTGGTATGATTCTCTAAAGCTAAACTTAAATTTGACAACAGTGTATCTCTGTCATTCTCTATACAGACTGAAAAGGACAGACTGATGTCAAATTTAGTTTTAAGTTTAGAGAATCCTGCCAGAATCGACACCAATGACCGTTTTTAAGGTTCGTGCACATATAAGTCGAAGCGGAGTAGCGGCGGCTTGATAGTGTAAGTGGTTAACGCGTTCGATTTGCGATCATAATGCATTTTCGGTACGGCCGGTGTTCAACTGCAAATAAACTTAGTTTACGTATCGTGTTCCACTTTCGGTGAAATGGTGGCGCTGTGTTAATTCTATATCGCGGTATGGTTTTATTTATACGATTACGTATATAGTTTTTCTGATTTAGATATTTGTCCCGCGAATATGTTTTGATTTGTCGTCTACTACGACCTACTACAAAACTACGTTTGGTCCTTCGAGCCGGATATGAACCAGACCAAAAATATATTATCTCAAGCTTCTCCGTGCTTTGAAAGGCATGCTAAATCATTATCAGTTTTCTTACCAATTTTCTTTCGAACTTCTCCGTGCTTTGGGAGGCATGTTAAATTGTTGGTCTATGTTGTTTCTGCAGTCGCCATTACCCACTGGGCTCTTGCTGGCGGCATTTTCTCCCTGTTCCATCCATAGAGAAAAACTAAAGCCCAGTAATGGAGACGATGGTTCAGGCATAATGTGCCCTCTAACCCACTGAGAAGCTCGATATTTTATTTTTTACCCGTGCTAAGACCGTCGTACACCGAACGCGCTAACCTCTATGATATCGAGATATTCAGTATGTGTGTTAGTTTGTAGTGTAATAGGATATTTTCGTACAAAGAATAATACACGAGAGAGACGCGAGTAGCTGCGCGGTGCTACGATTTCCTTAGATTCATTTTCTAAAGAGTTTTTCTTAACTGGTTATCAATATAACATTGTTCAGCGAGAGGAGAAAGTGACCGATTACCAACAAGGCGGTAGTTCGAGACCCGAGGCAAGGGATAAATAGTGCTTTATACTATGCCTGCGAGTAAATAAAAGACAAATTCTTTAATTGAAATTTATATTAAAATTGTTACAGTTACTAAACTTTTGCATGAGAGCTTTATATTGGTATTTTGGTTTCACGGGTAAAGTTTCTCAATGACTGCTTAGGTAGTTTCTTTTAATACTGGCGGTGCCAATTAATCTTCATTATCAGTAATATCCGCCGTCTCGACTACATAGTAAGTCCTTGGTGATAAACAAATTAAAAACTCAGTTAAAATAAAATAATCATAGCGCTTCTTACATTTTTTTTCTTTTTTTTTTATTAATTCATAAAGCAAACGTTGGTGTCGATGATTCTCTAAACTTTAAACTAAATTAAATTTCAGTCTCTCCTTTTCATCTATATTATCTATCTATATATATATATAAAACTCAAAGGTGACTGACTGACATAGTGATCTATTAACGCACAGCCCAAACCACTGGACGGATCGGGCTGAAATTTGGCATGCAGGTAGATGTTATGACGTAGGCATCCGCTAAGAAAGGATTTTAATCAATTCTACCCCCAAGGGGATAAAATAGGGAATGAAAGTTTGTATGAAACTGTGTCAAGTTTAAACCGATCAGGCTGGGACTTTGCATGCTATAAGTATAAGAAGAATCATAGATGATGTCATTGTGTATAATACAAGTTAGAGAACAAACACTGTAGTCTACACTTCAGCTCTACACCGAATAAAGCGAGGGCGGGCGCTAGTTCTATATAAAGAATGACAAAGAAAGACGATTGCCAAATTTAAGTTTAGGTTTAGAGAATCATGTTAGAATCGACACCAGTACAATATTAAAAGAATAGTTTGCAGTCTTCATGCAAATCATACTGACCACTTTTCGGAATATAAAAAATAAATTAAAAAAAAAAACAGCACGCTAACGATTTTTGTGGAGTGTGTATGCTGTTGGTCGCAGATGACCTTTACAGCGTCACCGGGTTTGTTAACAACGAATCTCCATAGACTTTCCTGCCCGCTCAGCGCGCTAAAAATGGATTTTCATACACTTTTCCAGCTCTCTTAGTAATACAACAGTAATAAGGTCTTTTCTGCTTTATTTTTAAACCAAGAATAAAGCACTTTTCAAGCAGGTGCAGTATTTATCCCCTCGGCTGTCGAGCCTCAGTCAGACGGTGAAAAAAAATATGTACAGATCTGTGTACTAACCGCCAGACGGCAAGTGGACGGTTGGGAAGGTTGGGAACTTCACATAAGTGAATTATTAATAAATTGGACTTAAGCTTCTTGAGTTAGAGCTCAAAATAATATTGAAGCACCAACCTAACGGTTTGTTTAAAGATTGACGTAGCATTCCATAGCCAAAACCAAAAATATTTACATATGAAGTTAGTCGACGGTTCGTCGTCAACACTGCCGCGTCTTTTGCGTTTAATTGTGGAAGTTTAAGTTAAAATTGTGATAAATTTCCTAGGAAATTATTGAAGGGTGAGATAATTAAATAGCATTTTATTTTCCTAACTGGTTTCATAACTAATTATAAAAACGGTTAATATTGTATTTTCTTAATCAGTTAAGAAAAAATCCTTTTTCGTACGAAGATGGTTAAGAAAGTGAATCGAAGGGATTTTAACTTCTAATTCGCTTTGTTTTTTTTTTCTTTTGAAGTGTTTAGGCTTATTAAGTTTTACGTCATATTTTATTTCTTTGAAAAACAATATTATTTAAGTTCATGACATTTTCGAAATACGTGATTAGTTATTTTTAGATTAGTACCATATTTCATATTTACATGCATTTATCATTTTATTATAGGTCATACGAAAGTGACATTCTGCCATACGATGAAAGGTTTGTCATACATTCATTACCATACAAATCAATGCAGCATTCAAGCGTGGAAAAATATTGATAATATTCTTATTAAAAACCTTGTTGGGATAAAATATTTTTTATTAAACTCGACGGCAGCGTTTCGGACAGATTTTTTTTTTTAATTTTGCTGTCGTGATTTTTCGTGATGCAGCCTAAAGCGCATCCTGACCTTTATATCAACAATGCTAACAAGTATAACATTTATATAGCTTGTATAACAAGTGTGGATGAATAACGATAGATCTTGGACGTAATATTATACAATATCCATCTTAATAAACTTGACGCACCTTTAGGCACCGAAATATATAAATAAACAAGCTGACCCAGCGAACTTCGTACCGCCCTAAAAAAATAGGGGTTGTCCAGCGGACAAAATTGTGAATCTAAACCATTCTCAGATCCCCTTGAACACACACAAAAAATTTCATCAAAATCGGTCCAGTCGTTTAAGAGAAGTTCAGTGACATACACACTCACAGAAGAATTATATATATAAAGATGGAGTCTGCCCAATCCCCTAGGGAAAGTTTAGTGTCTACTTTATAAATATTCTTTATTACGCTTGATTGCTTCATTCAATATGAAGCATGCCAATAAAATCTGTACATTATTTCTGGCATTTTCAGACACATAATATGTAAAATAGTTTTAACACACGCTTTTATTGACTATGTTTGATTAATTTAAGTTTAATTTATACTATTGTAAAGATTTTTAATGAAATTTTATTAAGAGTAATGTATATTTTGTAAACAGATATATAAATTTTAGGCAAAGCAGTTGCTTTTAATTGCTGTAAAGTTAGAACATTTCTCATAATTATGTAATTATTTTTAAGTGCCTACCTACTTTTCTCGATATATGTTACGCTCAAAGATCGAAAACGCTCAGTAAGCGGAAAAATAGCTCACAACGCGTTGTGGTCACAATAAACTCAACTCAAACTCATTTATTCAGTCTAGGCTGTTACAAGCTCTTGTGAAAGTCAAACGCTACGCCATCGGTTAGTAAATCTACGGCGGGAGACCTTGTACCGAGAAGAACCGGAAACTCAGCAAGGGCTATTTTTTTCTCCCTGTTTTGTTTCATACAGTGTCGTCAATTGAAAGATGACATCGAAACTAAAAACATGTGTTGATGTCATATTTCATCACATTAATATTATTAATTAACAATAAGTTAAGTGTAACTATCAAATTTCAACCAAATTAGTAAAGTTAAACGACTTAGTCTATTATATTAAGCCCAAGGTGCCTTATCATTTATAAAATCTTTAACTGTATAGTAACCTTTCTTAAGGAGACTAGTTTTTATACGCACTTTAAACTTATTAAAAGGTAAATTTATTATTTCGACATGGCGAAATGCGTGTTATGGCTCTAATGAAAACGCGCACGACGCGTTGTGGCAATGAAGAAAAGCCATGACGCGTATGGAATATTATTTGTTGTATTAACCACAACGAGTTGTAAGCTATTTTTCCGCTCACTGAGCGTTTTCGATCTTTGAGCGTAACATATATAAAATGTGGATTGTATTTTAATATTGTATATGCTTATAAATATGTAGAATAATTTTGCTAACTTTTTTGTTGTCTTAGATTTTTTGTTGTTGC